GATTGCTCTCTGTCACCGCTGATGCTTCCATCAGCAATGAATGCTGCCTGGGCCCATTCTGCACAAGTGGTGCTAGTTTTAGAGCAGGATTGTCACGGTGTGCGATACTGCATAGATGATCACCTGATTGCTATGAAATTTAGTGCCACGTATAATTACTAATCCACTACCATCTTCTCTATGGATGCGGAAGGCGTTTTGTAGTTCTGGAATATCAGTCATCTGTTAACAAGGATCGAACTGTTTCAAATTGTTGGACATTGATTTAATACTTTCAGAGACATATGTTTTGTTCCTATTTGATGTATAAAGATTGTGATTTACACATTATCACATTCTAATCACATATAGTAGGGGGAGGTGTATTGTAGCACCCTAATTGTTGACACATCTTTTGATATGTTGATTTTTTGATAAGTTGTTTTTTTTAACACTATTAATAAGGAGCAGGGTTGGCAGTGCAGTACTATTTAAATCTTTATATATCACACTATTTGTGTCAGGTGTTAGCAGCAGCCTACATATCCATTTACACCACTCATTGCACGGGACTCCTCTATTTAATTCTCTTTTGAAGTGTATCTAAACTCAAGAACAAAAATGTATTTTGCAGCTTACAGGTCCTTAAATGGCTGCATTTATTTACTAATTTCATCCTTTTTTTTTTTCCCTTTATTTCCTTTTAAAACACTTGCTTTCCTTGTGTGACAACACTCAATTACTTACTATACTGTACCTATGGGTGAGCAGTGTTGTCACCCTGGGACAGGAAGTGTGTTAGGACTATACAGCACCTTCACAGATGCAACACCTCCTGCGCTCAAGGACCCAGACCAGTAGACGGCCGATGGACCAAAAATACTAAAGTGTATGGAAGTTAGTCCAAGACCAATCAAAGGCTGTGCAGCTCCAACACGAAGCTGGGAAAGCTCAATACAAACTGTAGTAGAGAACAAAAACAGAGCGCACCAACCTTGCACATTACCTCAGTAAACAATTAGTTGATTTAGGAGATAAACTCACAAAAGTAGTAATAAAACAGGCATATAAAATCCAAAAGCAAAATCCTACGATAAGGAGACACATGCGAATCCCATCGGAAGGGGAGATTCTCAGAGTGACCCTGACGCGTTTCGAAGGGGTGGTCCCTTCATCAGAGCTTTGGATTTTATATGCCTGTTTTATTACTACTTTTGTGAGAATATCTCCTAAATCAATAAATCAACTAATTGTTTACTGAGGTAATGCGCAAGGTTGGTGCGCTCTGTTTTTTTATTCTCTACTATAGAGCACCTTCCCGTCTCTTCAATCTTAAATAAAAGTGAAGGTGTTATGTAGTTTACAAATGTGAAATGGATAGGGCTGATAACACGGTTTGAGAAAACACTGCAGAAAAAAAGGACAGAACGTTGTCAGCTCACAAGATCTCAGCTAGATCAACGGAAATTAATTTTATACCTATTGGACAGATAAAATAAAACACTTTCATCTGCATACCTAAACACACCACAATGTAGCAAATAAGAGATACTCATTGATAGGAATTACATACCCTTTAATGTAGTAATTAGATTGATTCAGTACTTTAGCTGCATTTAATTAGCCGGCTACTGTGCTATTCATACACAGTTATAAAGGGTTGAGTTGGAAACTTTAATGGGCAAATGTCCAAAATATGTCTACCTTCTTGAAGTCCTTCATACCACAGAAATATGTTAAAAGTTCTTTGAAGAAAGCTAGTCGGCACTCTAGGCTTATTAGTCTTTTAGAAAAAAGACTGAAGAATGAAATTTGCTTTCAGAAGGAAGTCGTTGTGGGCTAAAAAAATGGCCACAAGCACTTTTACCGAAAAGGAAGTAGACTACAGACTACTGGCTATTATGAAATATTCATGCACTTCTACCCACTGTCTCTTTGACTGATTAGCACTTTAAGACCATTAGGTATGGATATCTGGACCACTTTCAGAAATGTACTAAAAATATACTTACAAGAATGCACACGTCACTGTGCAAAACAGCATCTTTCTGGTCAATGCATTTTGTCTTTTGTTATATTTCATTTATATTTGGAGTGTATTGGAACTACAACTATGGGATCAGAAATATAACAAAGACGCATGTTTTGGAACTACAACTGTAGGATCAGAAACATGAGAAAGAAGTATTCTTGTTGCCCATGGCATCCAGTCAGATTCTCCCTTTCCTTCTCTATTACTGCACTAAAATTTGCTGGTTAGGATGTAGATATCCTCCTGAGGATAGTAACCCCATGGAGTGGAGTTCAAAATAATAATGGATGCTTTATCGAAAAGCAAAACAGGTTTCAGTTAATAGTGAGATCAGAACAATAAGCTGATATGACCTAGACCAGCCTTTTTCAACCAGAGTGCCGAGGTACCTTAGGGTGCCTTGAGGTTTCTTCAGGGGTGCCTTGGCAAATTGTCTAAAAATTGCCTAAAACTTGTATACAAGCCAACAGGTAGAACAAGCCTGACTTTTGGCTACACAAAGCTACAGGTTTTCATTGTGCACCATTATGACCTTCTAGCCGCTGGCGTCCTGACAGCTAATAACATCATCAGTTGATAAGGAGGATATATCAGCTGCCTGCACAGCATCCTTGTTTGAACCTCCCCTGTCCCTCTCCATCAGTGCTGGGGGTCACATTAACTCAGTGATGGAGAAAAAACAGAGAGAAGAGAAACACTGGAATACTAGTCAGTACTAGTGTGCTGAAGTGTATTTGCTTTGGATGGATAAATCACCTCTAATGTTAGGTGTCCTATGGGTGTGGATGTTGCTGTTTAATTAAAACTATTAGAATAGTTTTACATTTTAGAAGGGGGTACTTCAAGACTGCCCATAGGTTTAGAGGATGCCTTGAAATTGTCCAGAATTGACTGAAAACAGGTTGAGAAACACTGACCTAGGCTATAGGGCTGTGATGTTTGCTTTATAGCTTCCACAGCCTTGAGAGCATGGTCATTCATGTAGTCACAATCTGCCTCCCTCATGCCACAGTTTCTGCAGTTTGCTCCATACATCTGTAAGATTGGAAATGCCTAAAACTGATGTATTGGGCAACTGTTATTTCACTTCTGTAGCACCAAAGCCTACTTAAGGTAGCGATCTTGGAGCAAACTTGTGGTTAGATGTTATACATAGCAGCAGCCCAGGTACATTGACTCAGTTTATATCCAGAGATTCTTATCAAATCTCAAAAGGTTAAGTTGTGTTCTAGCCCCACAAGCCTCCATATTGACTCCTGAGGTCATCACATTAATAGCCCAAAGGTAATGCTAGGTACACATGTAGAATTTCTTTTCTTTCAATTCAGGAGGTCACCTAACTAAGCAATGTTAGTTCGGCGATCTCCGCTGCTGAGTTATTGTGTTCTGACAGGGGGACTGCCTCCCCCCACCAGAACACACTGATCAGTGCTCACAGTTATTGGCTGCGAACACTGATCAGATGCTTATTTTCCAGCATTCTCGTTTGACAGAAGCCGGTCATAAGACCGGCTCCTGTCAGACAGGAATCTGAGCACATGGGCCGAAAGGCGTCCCGTCCCAAACCGACTTTAGGCCCGTGTGTACCCAGCTTAAGGGTGGGGATGAGACAAACTTTATTAGTTCAGGCTCTGGTCAGAATTGGCATATAAGGTTCCGTTGGACACTGTTAAAATAAACCAAGACAATGCGTTGGCTTTACTTTGACTTCCCTTACTGCATATATGTTCCAGCTAATGGAAGTTGCATGCGTAGGATTATGCAGGTGCTGGAAAATATCTGAAGTAGATGAGCCACTGTAATTTAAGAAAAGGTAAAGAAAAGTCGCACTAGGACCTTATCAGGATGCAGATACATACATTTCTCTCATATATATATATATTTATGCACATACATACACACAGGGGCGGACTGACAACTCATAGGGCCCCTGGGCAATAGGGGATCATGGGGCCCGTGTCCTTGGAAAAAAAAAAAAAAAAAAAAAGAAGGTACCAGGGGCATCTCATGGGGCCCCCTACTGACCCTGGGCAGTGCCCGAGTTTCCACATGGTTAGCCCGCCCCTGTGTGTATATATATATATATATATATGTATGTATGAACTGTCACACTGGGTGATAGTAAGCCTTTTTCTCCATATAGAAGATATTTGCATCCATTGTTTAAAAAAATAAAAACTGAACCCTTACAAGCAAGAAGATGGTAGCATTTTATTAAAGCTACCAGGCTTATTAGATATATAACAGCTAAACTCACGGGACTTCAGAGCACAACACATTATAACGCCGTCTGGTTTTCAACTGACCATAATCCAATCAACTCAAGGGCTGAGTTAGAAAAACCGAGCCTGTTATTTTCTCAGCTTCAGCCCAGAGCTTATATTGCAGCTAAAACAGATAAAAAATGATGTGTTAGTCAATATTATCAACTTTCCAAGCAGAAGGGGTCTCCCTTGGGTGCTTTAAAAGGTTAATCTGTAAAACAGAGAAGATCATTTTCTGGAGATGGCTTTCGGGATTACTGAAGACAGACACTTCCATCAAACTCATCAAGAGGTTTTTTTTTTTTTTTTTTTACAAAACATGCTAAAAGTTATCATCCCTATTTAGAGGCCAATTAGCATTTCATTTTATTGGCTCATCCATTGAGGATAATAAAAGATTGAGCCTCGATTTTGTGGTCTAATGCAGCCTACTCTGATATTCTCCTTGACCTGCTGATGAAAACAGACCTGGATATATCCTCCAAAAGCTAGGAGCCAGTTCCAAAATGCTGGGTGGGAGCCAACAATGCATACAGTGCTATTATTTTTACACATTGCCACAGTTTCCCAATTATATTTCATTGAAATACTTGTAGGTGTGGTTGTCTTTTCTTTACACAGTGCTGCCACCCTCCTTGCTGTTGTGTGGCGAGTTTGCTCCCTGAACCTCATCAGAACTCAAAAGTTAGCTGCCAAGATGCTACAAAGGATTGCTATTTACTTACATTTTCAGAATCATGATCTCATTCTTTGCTGCCCTCCTCACTTTTCGGCCATCTTTCTTCAGAAACTTTTTGCAAACATAGAGACGATCTGTCTGCATCTCCCGGGCCAGGCAGATTTCACAGAACTCTTTCCTGAACAATGTAAAAACATTTCCATGCTACATCTCACAGGCCAATAGACAGTAGAGACAACAAAGTACACTCAATGACAACCTAAGAAAAACACAATACTCACGCACACAGAAGCTGGCCAATCTCATATTTGTCTGTGATGTCAGAGAAGCAGTTGTACGTTTTCTCATTGCGGACACTGATGCATCCAAAAGGCATGGCAGCTGCACAAGAAAGAAATGAAGAAATCTGAGAGAGGAGGAGAGGGAACCTGGGGAAGATGTATTGGGTGAAATCTGCTATTGGACCCATGATTCAGGGGGCCCAATGACTGTTACAACTCTAGCACCGCCCAAGATAAGTTGATATGAAAAATTCAGTTTTTGGCTGGTGGTAGTCAACCCAGTTTTAATTTGTATAGTTGTGCATTTGGTTTCTCCCTAAGCTCAGTGGGGTTGTGAACTCTCACTGTTATCAGTAGGTGTCCCTGGTGCCACTGGCTATAGAATGATATTTCCCTGCCAGGCTGAGCTATGAATATTCATATTTACCCCAACCATCCCAGTAGGAGGTTCAAGCCCCAGGGGCACAATGGGGCAGTATAAATATTTGGGGAGGCCATGTGCTTGCTCTCTTGCCTCAGGCTAAGGCCTAAGAAGTTGCTGCTGGACTGTCTATGCTGCTAGCCCCAGAAACCGGTTTGGGGCTTTTCATGTGCTTGGTGTACAGCCCTACACATCTGGCCTAGGAGGTTCACCAGCTGCGAAAGCCACCATCTCTGAAGGCCTTGCTGCTGATCTACAGAACATTGATGCTCATCAGGGTCCTGACTGGGGAGCTATTCAGTGGACTTGTGAGTAACACCCCGGTTGCACTGGGTGTGACTTGGCATGCAATTTGCATGCCAGGCGACTTACAAATCGTATGCCAAGTCGCACCCTATTGTCCACAATTACAGCGGTCAAATCGTTGCGGTTCTAACTTGGTCGGAGCCGCACCAATTTCTAAAGTAGTACATTCACTACCTTTCGTGTGATCTGCATAGACATCTGTGTCAGATGTCTTGCAAATCGCACCTGAAATTGGCATCTCACCCGACTTTAAAATTTTGCAACTTCACTGTAAGTTGCACGATTTCAAAGTCGGGTTTGATGTGACCGGGGTGTAATAAACTGTTCTCTGATCCGGGTGACAGTGGTGCTTTAAGGATATAAGGGCTAGTGTAGCTTTACAGGGTACAACCTTTACAGTGTCCATGATTTGGCTGTTCCTTTCAGTCTCAGTGATCAAGAAGTGCCATTTACAGGACAGTTAAATTAGTGTCCTCCTCTTTGGAATTGGCAGTTATCCAAGTATCCCATGCCCTATACCCGTCCCCAGTTACACATTCCTCAGCACAAAAATCTAAGTCCTCATACACACTGAATGTTTTGATAATGTTAACTGTGTAAAGTCATGTTAAAAACGTGAGTTTTTTGGCTTTTTTTTGTGTTTTTGCATTAGAGTTTAGACGTTTGTGTTTTTTTAGCGGTTGTTTTTTTTGGTAAACCAAATGTTCAAAAATGCCGGTTTGTGGTGTTTGACCACATTTTTCAGTGTTAGAGCATTTTTCAGCTAAAAGACTCCTCTAGAAACCCACTAGTCCTGGGTTTTGTTTCCAGCCAAAAAACGTTGATTACAGTCTATGTGTGCATGGACACATAGGATAACATGCTGGGGGGTTTACTGGCTGTAGAAAAAAACATCAAAAGCCAAAAACAGCCGCTGTAAAAACGTCCAGTGTGCATGAGGACTAAAAAGACATCCCGCAGACTGGTCAGTGGGTCAGGGTATATGGAGTCACTATTGTGTGTGTGCTAGCAGCCTCTGCATAATCAGGGAAGGAACCTTGGTCATCATCATCTGTGTTGCTGTTATCAGGAGAGGTGCAATGCTTATGCTTTTATCACATTTAATCATCAGGGGTACTACTACACAACTCTTTATGTATCACCTGTGCCAATCGTTTTACCTCTGTACACAAACAGCATTTTCCTTTTTTTTGTCCAATTTTCTCAGCTGCTGTTCGTCATTTAATCCTCCTCTAAGCTTATTAGATTAGAAAAAGGTCAAATTTTACAGGAATTTTATTAAAAAAATATAGTACCTGAAGGGCTGAACAGGACAGTGTAAGCTGTATGATATAAAAGGGGCAGTATAAATTTTGTATCTGTGATTTTCTTTCGTTAAGCCATTGTTACTTTGGCAACGTGTGGAAATAGGTAGAACATATTTCAGTAGCATCTCCCCTCTGGGCACAACAGAGAGCTGTCTCGTGTTCTGAAGCAATGCTCATTAAAAAAGGGCTTGAGGAATTGTTTCCAATCAAAGTGCAGGGTGGCAGTTGATTGGTGGTGTAAGAGGGGGGCTCTAGGACTGCTGACCACAAGAGTGTGGCTGTTCTGTTTTATGAAGCACCTGAATGGTTTTTGTTTTCGGATGACTTTCCATAAAACATTGAGGTCTGGTGTGGCAATTTTTTATATTTTGCTCCAGTGGATCTTCTCTGTGGTCTGTAGACCACATATATTCTCCCTTAACTTTTCCCTCCTTCTACAGGTTGTCTCTGAGCCGACACTCTCTGCATGTACTCGACAATTACTAACGCATTTGCATTGCGGGGTAAGTCATATTACAAAAGACAGAAACATTAAACAGTACAAAAAATGGCCACTGCCCCAATCTATAATTGGCCTTCGCAGCAAGGAGCACTTGGAAGGGCGAAGCATGTCAAACAATATTGCCCTTCTATGTGCTCCTTGCTGCAAAGGCCAGTTATAGATTGTGGCAGTGGCCATTTTTTGTACTGTTGATGTGCTGGTTATGGGGTGCACTGGACACCTTAGCTGCCATTGTGCTATATGCTGGGTGCCCAGTGCACCTCTGTACCTTTTAATGAGGGGTGGGCTCCCTCAGGCTCACCTGCCCTATGCATGTGCTTCTTTTATGGAGGCTCTCAAAATTTATAGAGTTAGGAACTGCAGAATATTGGGGTGCCGAAGGGACTCTGCAGCTTACGCATGATTTACAAATGTGTGCTGTTAGACAGGACAATTTGGCTTGTTTGCAAGCTGGTTGGTAAGTTGAGCTGGGAAGTTTTCTTTTTTTATAGTTTGACAGAAACATTAAATGCTGAGAGATGTGTATAAGGAAAGCTCAAAAGGGGCTTAAAGCTGAACTCCATTATAAGCAAATATTGTGTAAATGCAAGAGTCACATGTATTCTTCCTTGAATCGCAATGTGCTTTGTGTATTTCTTTCAGATCTGTGCAGTAATCCCAGTGTGAAACTTTACCACTGTGTAGTGCCTGTAACAATGACCGGTCACTGCCGCGCTCTGCTTGTGTGCAGTGTGACTGGTCTTGTCTCCGCCCCTCCTATATTTTTCTGAAGACAGCCTGTAGTAGGTGAGGTCTGCTGGGTCCCTCCCACAGCTCTGCTCTCTGTACATCACAGAAATGATGTTACTGCTACTTTTACATGGTAATAACTGAGTTAGCAAAAGGCATTTGGTGCACACAATCTGTATTTACAGTATATTCTTTGTGGTTATTCAGGAATATATTTAAATAATAGTTTTATACCTGGAGTTCTGCTTTAACAGTTGGTAGAATCTAACTAGAATATGGTTTGGAAACTGTAGGTAGGCTTTTTTTGGGAAATAAAAAAGTGATGTTTTTCTTTAAGATCCTCAATGACCCTTTGGACATGACTGCGCTGTCTTTTGACATCAGTAGTAAATACCACCCAGGATATACAAAGCAGATTTTCAGATGCCTGATGCAATATTGTTATGTCATATCAGATAATATGACATGACAAATTGCTCATGCTGCTCTTGCCCTGGGGTTTGCGATGGATGTTGTGCTGGGAGTATACGTATCTGCTGAACAGGAAGAGTGAGCAGCAGTTGTCATGATATTTACTGCAGCTTCAGATCTGGTGCTGAAACCAAAAGCTTGATGTGGCACAGTATGAGCAAGTGTGGAACAGATGGACTAAGTACAGCTCAGTGCACACAGCCTGTTTCATCTAGCCACTGCACAAACTCAGACATGCACACAGCTTGTACTATACAGTCAGTGCACAAACACATAGACTTCTATCCAGCTGATAACACACATACTAAAGCATGTTGCCGTACTTTTGAAAATGCTAGTTTCCTGACCAGGGGCGGACTGACCATTCGAGCACTCGGGCACTGCCCGAAGGCCCGGGGTCAGTAGAGGGCCCCATGAAATGTCCCTGGTACCTTTTTATAGGCTTTTTTGGGTGTTGAGTGTGGGCAAGGACACAGGGGCCCCATGATCCCCTACTGCCCGGGGGCCCCATGAGTTGTCAGTCCACCCCTGTTCCTGGCAGACTCTGGCTTTAAAGTGACCTTCCCATGAAAGTTGTTAAAGCAATTCCTTGACACTTGTACAAGAAGACTGCAAATACCTTTCCAGGTGCTGGCATCACCATTCTCAAGTTCTCATTCCCTGAATTCTGTTTGGAAACTGACACTTCCAGGTGTGTCAATTTCCTGGGTCCCCAACAGCTCTCAATGGTTCCTCCCACTGACCTTCAGAGTGCACAGTAGTGATGTGAAGGTCTGCGGGGGGGGGGGGGGGGGGGGAACCAGCAAGAACTGAGGAGGAACCATGGAGATAGAGCCTCCCAGAAGTGTCCATTTCCATACAGACTTCGAGGGGCAAGAACTTGTGAAAGGAACAGTGTTGTGAGCACCTGTAGGTATATAGTCTTCATTTACAAGTAACAGGGTTTGACCTATTATTTTTTGTGACAGGACACCTTTAATACTTTTGAAGGTCAGGGGGAACCAGTGAGAGCTGTGGAGCAACCAACGAGAAGCAGCCTCCTGGAAGTGTCCATTTTCGTACAAACATTGAGTGACAAGAACTTGTGAAAGGAGCAGTTTTTGGCAATGGGAGCACCAGTAGGGGAGTATTAGCGTTTTCGTTTGCAAGTAACAAGGTTTGACCTATTTTTTGTCATAGGACACCTTTAATACTTTCAAAGGTCAGGAGGAACCAGTGAGAGCTGAGGAGGAACCAAGGAAATGGAGCCTTCTGGAAGAGTCCATATCCGTACAGACTTTGAGGGACAAGAACTTGTAGAAAAAGAACAGTGTTTAGCAATGTGCGCACCAGTATATTAATATTTAGAGTTTTCATTTA